TGGAGCTTTGCTGCTTCTGCTGTGCTATGGTGTTTCCAGAAATGTAGGAACCTGGCTCTCCAAATAGCCATTTTTATGTTCCCTAGTCTATGGATTTTATCTTCCCCAGGCTGCTTCTGAAAGGTACTTTGACGCTTCCCTTCCTTTCATGGTACTTAGTACAACCCGTGAAGTGGATTGAGGGTTTATCCAAGTCAGGAAGTGTATATGATTTTTATTCTCCTTCATCTTTCCTTTCCAATTACAAAATTTGGCTATCTTTTTGAAAATATGAAGAACAGAAAAAAACAGGATAAGTGAACATAAATTTAATATTATATGAACTTATTCTGCTAATAGAAATTAAATTAGTTTGGGCCAGAACAGAGACAGGGAGTGTGATTCTGATCATGTCACCCTTTTGCTTAACATACTCTAATGGTTGCCTACTGCTTTTAGGATGTTACTCCCTAACATAGCCAATAGGATCCTGCCTGCCTCTCCAGCCTTTTCATGCATTGCAGTCTTTCTCATTCCCTCTAATAAAACCACAATGGTGTTTCGTTGTTGGAAAAAAAAATGTTCTCTTTCAATACAGGATCTTTGTACATTTAGAGGTACCTCTTTACCTGCTTAACTCCCACTCATCTTTCAGACTGCAGCTCTCCTGGCATTATACAGGGAAAGTTTCCCTACTGCCACCTGTTGTAGACACTCCTAGTACCATGTAACTTTTCTTTATATGATATATTCCCTTTCAATGGAGTACCATGCAGTTGTAAAACAAATTGAGGAAATTTTCTAAATACTAATGGGAAGACTTTCTATTTTTATTAACTAAAAAATGCAACATGCAGCACATTGTGTATAGTATGCTGCCTTTTGTACAAAAAGAGGAAAAGTTTTATATATATGTATGTGTGTATATATATGTATATATATATCTCCACATATATGTATTCAGTTTGCCTATATACACATAGAAAACTCTGGAAAGATACACAAAAAACTAATAACAATGATTATCTATATTTTTGGTAAATAATGGGAGCTAAAAGGACAGGGAATAGGATACAATGTATAAATGTAAAGTAATGAAAATATTTAATGATGCTCCCTTCTATTGATTTTATTATACATACGAATGTGGCATAGGTTTAAAACTAATTATTGAAATGCAAAATTCATTAAACAAAAGGTTTTTTAAAAATAATTTACCTCTTTATGAAATAGGGATATATTCAAAACTAGATGGTGGTTCAAGCAAAACTAGATGGTGGTTAATCATTACTTTAAGGATCACTTATGTTTTTAAGATATTCACTGAAATAGATTCAATGTGTTCTTTTTACATATTCTATTCTCAAATCAAACTAGGCAAGTATTAGGCATAATCTCTTTTTGAAGAATCTCAGATGCTTGGGAAGCCTGCGTGGCTCAGCGGTTGAACATCTGCCTTTCTTTGGCTCAGGGCATGATCCTGGAGTCCCAGGATTGAGTCCCACATTGGGTGTCCTGCATGGAGCCTGCTTCTCCTCTGCCTATGTCTCTGCCTCTCTCTCTGTGTCTCTCATGAATAAAAAAAAAAAAAAAATTCCAGATGCTAATCTTAACTTTCTAAGAACATTAAAAAAAAGAAAAAGACAATGTTTAGGAATAGACACAAGAATCCTTTGTTCTACAGATTTTTTTTAAAGATTTCATTTATTTATTAATGAGAGACATGCACACAGAGAGAGAGGCAGAGACACAGGCAGAGGGAGAAGCAGGCTCCACACAGGGAGCCCGACATGGGACTTGATCCTGGGTCTCCAGGATCAGGCCCTGGGCTGAAGGCAGTGCTAAACCGCTGAACCACCCAGGCTGCCCTGTTTTACAGATTTAAAACTTTGTTTTACAAATTCAAACCTCAAGAGCTGAAGGTTTTCCAATGAAAAATGAAGTTAAAACAATCCAAAAATGACAAAAGAGATACTTCTTCAAAGTATTTCTGTGTTTAGCCTATCACATATGTACATTAAAATTAGAACAATAAATGCTTATCAATGTTATTAACACTAAGAACTTTAAAAAAAAAAACCCAGAGTGATGGAACATAATAGAGAACTCAGAAATGGACCCTCAACTCTGTGGTCAACTGACCTTCAACAAAGCAGGAAAGAATATCCAATGGAAAAAAGAAAGTCTCTTCAACAATGGTCTTGGGAAAATTGGACAGACACATGTAAAAGAATGGAAATGGGCCACTTTCTTATATCACACATGAAAATAAATTCAAATGGATGAAAGACCTAAATGTGAGACAGGAAACCATCAAAATCCGAGATAATACAGGCAGCAACCTCTTTGACCTTGGCTTCCGCAACTTCTTGCTAGACACATCACCAAAAACAAAAGCAAAAATGAACTGTTGGGACTTCATCAAGATAAAAAGCTTCTGCACCGCAAAGGAACCAATCAACAAAACTAAAAGACAACCTACAAAATGGGAGAAGATATTTGCCAATGACATATCAGATAAAGGGTTAGTATCCAAGATCTATAAAAAACTTATCAAACTCAATACCCAGGAAACAAACAATCCAGTCATGAAATGGGCAGAAGATATGAACAGACATTTCTCTAAAGAAGACATACAAATGGCCAATAGACACATGAAAAAAATGCTCAACATCAATTGGCATTAGATAAATACAAGTCAAAACTGCAATGAGCTACCACCTCCTACCAATCAGAATGGCTAAAATTAACCAGTCAGGAAACAACAAATGTTGGTGAGGATGTGAGGAAAAGGGAACCCTCTTATACTGCTGTTGGGAATGTCAGCTGGTACAGCCACTCTGGAAAACAGTATAGACGTTCCTCAAGAAGTTAAAAATAGAGCTACCCTGTTACCTAGCAATTGCACTACTAGTTATTTACCTGAAGGACACAAATATAGTGATCCAAAGGGGCACCTGGACCCCAATGGTTATATATATATGTTAATTAGTGAATTAAAATAAAATTCAATAAAAAAACCCAACCCAGAGTGCTACCTATCTAGAGATACCTAAAATTACTCTTGGTTTTTGGAGAATGCCTCTTGAAGTATAACTATAATAAGGGCATAAGTGAGGTCTTATCACAGCTGTGGTGCTAGGGAAATAGGTTGTGGGCCTATCTTGAATTAATTATTTTCCATTAAGGAAACTGATAATCAAAAGATATAAATATAATTTCCCTTGTTGAGATTAAGCCACTCATTAATATTACAGAGATTATATTCTCAAATCACAGAGTATAATGGCATCTAATGAAATTAAAGTGAATAGATAGCAATTTTATGCTTTGTTTCCAATTTTACAGTTAGCCCTATAGAACAGATTTTAAGGAGGCACTAATAAGTCTTTATCAACAAACTATCCATTTCTTTTATTTAAGTCTTGAGCATTTAATTGGCAAATTTTGACTTTTAATCTATTGCTATCTTAGCTTAAAATCTGTAGGGTCAGGGTAGGAACAGATGGATTTGGTAGCTCTTAAATATCTTTACACATGAACTGACTGTTAATAATTTTCACTTCTTTAGAAGGAATACCCAAGTTCTAGGAATTTTGACACTGCTCCTTATTATTGTATATGGGGCTATGATTCAGAAAACAGTAGCATCATACTTTTCTTTCCTTCTCCTCTTCCTCCTTTTGGAGAAATACATGATAGAATATTTTACAGTGACCTATTCAACAGATGCAATTAGAGAAAGACTCACCCTCCTCTGCTCTAGTAAACTTGTAAATTTCAATATCTGGTGCCTAAAGAATAACTGGGTACATTTGACCTATTCCATGCTCTTGATTCTGTTCCCCAAAAGCATAGAAATCACATATATTATAATCTGATTGAAAGGACTTAATTTCCTTTTCCTATTTGGTCTACATGCACCACCTGGTGGTAAAGTAGTGCATTTCAAGTGTTGCTGTGTGTGTGTGTGTGTGTGTGTGTGTGTGTGTGTGTGTTGTGGGGTATTCAATATACATTCCTAAATATTTATTTAGATTAATTAACAATGCAATTGTTTTGCAACAAATATCTAATAAAACACTGGAACACACGCACATACATATATGTCAGAGTAGGAAGTAAAGGAGGGAATAACTCATGTTGGAAAGTAAAATAGCTTTCTCTTATTTACATTAACTGTAGCTCTTATAATTTCATCCTTAGATAAACATTTATTTATTGTGCTCATGTTCTTATTGAGGCAAGAGTTGAATACTGATAACCAGTGTAAAACCATTTTATTTTTAATTTTTAAGGATTATAATTTTTAAAAGTATGCATCCTCTTCCTTATTAGTAGTTAGTATAAGTCACAGAATTTTAAAATTATAAGGCACCATACAATCATTTAGACTAATGTACTAATTTTACAAATGTAGTAGCTGAGACTCAGAAATGCCAAGTGACTTGCCCAAGGTCATACTGGTAATCAGTGGCTCAGCTCAAATAAGAAACTAGGTCTTCCCACTTCAGTCTAGGAATATAAAACATAAAAATTACACTCATATACAATGGTAAAATATCTCTCTATTAAAAGATATGAACTTAACTCAGCCACAGAACACCAAGATGTGATTTAATTGACACGTGCTAGTTTTATTCTAAAATTCTGAGTGCAAAGAAGTATACTAGAAATGCATACATCATAAAGCAATGGAAAAGATTTTCTAACTAGCAAAAATCCTTTTATATATGTTCAAAGGAATATTTTTCAAATTCTATACAACAGCTATGTCGTAAAGATGGTGTAAAAAAATTCCTTTTCCCCTTTTAACTGCTTCAGAATCAGAGATCTGTTGCTACAAAGTAGGTACCCACTGGTAGATTCAAGCATAAACCATGTTCATAGCTCCCTCTCATGACCATTGAATGAATACTATATAAGCCTCCTTTATTCTCGCTGTTGTATTCAACTAACAGCTCACTGGTTAAGTTTTAATTGCTTCCAATGAGGTCAGCAAAGGTATTTATCGAAAAGCCCTGAATAAAAAGGCTCCACATACACACACACAAGCATACACGCGCTCACACAGAGAGAAAATCCTCTTGCCTGTTGATTTATGGAAACAATTATGATTCTGCTGGAGAATTTCTCAGCTGAGAAATAGTTTGTAGCTACAGTAGAGAGGCTCAAGTTGCACAAGGCAGACAACAGACATGGAATTCTTGTGTATCCAGCTGTTATCAACAGAACAAGTAAGTTACTGTTATTTGTCTTTAAAAATAATGCTGCATGGTTTTCTAGTAGTTTACCTCTTTCTCTGGTTTTAGTGCTGAGGGGAAAAGTAAAGTTACCAGACTTTTGAGCCATGTAATTATCTATAGTAATTATGTTGTAGAACTTACATAAAGATAAGGTTGAAGTTCTCCAGACAATACTGGCATTTAACTTGAGAAATGTGGGTAGTTCAGGAGAAAATAATTGATCAACCACAAACATAAAAGCATACAATAAACAAATCTAGGGAAAGTATTTATATTTTGTTAATAATGATTTTAGGACTTAATTTAAATCAATAGCTCTAACTGCAGGATGTTTCTTACCAAATAGCAATCAGAATAAATAGTACAATCATATTCTTATTTGTCTCTAATAATGCATAACTTTTATAAATCTACATATGGAGAGATAAAGACATTGACATCCTCTGTGAAAGCTGTTTAAATGTGCCTTCACAGTACAAACTACACTGTATGTTATAATAGTATTTACCCAGTGAAATTTATACATACAATTTCTCATCTTCCCTCCCCCTCCCTTCCCTATTCTTAATCTCTCATTGCAAACAGAAGTCAAGTAGTAAACAGTGTCGCAGCAACTGAGCTTATTACAACTTGTTTTTATAAGGAAATACCAACAGAGTTATTTAAGGAGGAATCTTGTATTGTTATCAGGAACTAAAAGGATAAGGATAACAATTTGGAAAAAAACAACTATTCTTTCTTAAATCAATCTACAATTCACAGATAGGAAGAGGTCAATGACCCAGGAGCAACAATCAACTCAAGATTTAATTTTCATTATGTTATTCATGAACACCCGGAGCACTACACTATAATGCGCAAATGGATACTGACATGGATCCTGCCAACTTTGCTCTACAGATCATGCTTTCACATTATCTGTCTAGTGGGCACTATATCTTTAGCTTGCAATGACATGACTCCAGAGCAAATGGCTACAAATGTGAACTGCTCCAGCCCTGAGCGACATACAAGAAGTTATGATTACATGGAAGGAGGGGATATAAGAGTGAGAAGACTCTTCTGTCGAACACAGTGGTATCTGAGGATTGATAAACGAGGCAAAGTCAAAGGGACCCAAGAGATGAAGAACAGTTACAGTAAGTAATGTCTTTTATTTACAGCACTGCTTATGGACCTTAATCTGTGAAAAAATCATCATAGGCTTTCTTAGTTTCCCCCACTTTTTTTTCTTTTGGAAAAAAATTAACTATCATCTTTTAATTTCTCTAAATTTGGATCATTGAATTATGTTTCCAAAAAGATCTCCTGGAACTGGTCAAATCTATTAATATTATAGTTGGAACTGATAACCCAAGCCAATTTGAAAATAAAATCCCCATGTCCTAAGCTCAAAATGCTTATAAACTAGACAAAATGTAAATGATCTTATTCACATTGAAATGTGACTCACTATCTTCTAGCAAAATTCATTAGGAACTCTAAAAGAGTACTCAGCAAATAAATGCTCACCCAAAACTACTTATTAGTTTGAGGAACAGAAAAGTTATTTTAAAAAGTAATTTGATTTTCTTTGAAAATATTTCTGTGGTGTGAAATACTTCATCTGTGCTCAAAAATGTATTCAGTGACTTGTACAATTGTGTACAGTTATAAAATAGAAGGGAATCTGTAGTATCCTCATCTCTTCACATCATAATGAGTTTGTATTGGATTGTTTATTTACCTAAGGAAAAAAAAAACAAGATTCCTCCTAACATTTTCTTTAGATCTTCTGTGCCATAATTCTATGTTACCTTAAGAGAAATGTAAATGTGAAGGAGGAAATAAAGTGAGTTGGAAGAGATGTCCATGATTTTCTGTTAGTGTACCCTACGTTTTCTCCAAAACTCAGTTATTTTTTTCGTGTTAAAATATCATGGTTGGACTTATCATTTAGCAGTTATGATTAATACACAATTTCAACAGTTTTAGATTTAAGGGGGTAAAATACTCAACATATGTAGTAAGAATTTAAAAGCCCTGAATGAAAATAAATTTTGTTTGTATTACTAGTACTTGAACAATGCTATTATTATATCATCTTATAATGTTATGTATGTTAAAATCAATTTAAAAAGAATGCATGGGATGATGATGTAAACATTTGCTTAAGCACTTGCAGTACATTTTGCTTTAGGCTTGCAGTGAGTACTTGACACTTTTGTTGCTTGTTTACTGAATGGTTTTGAGGCTTCTTAATTAATAAACCAATAAATGGAAATTTGGGGAATTATGTTTCCAATATGAAAATGAGAGGAAACTTCCTTTTAACTATAATTGATATAGAATGCTAAGGCCATTTTAATGGATTATTAACACTTGTAGTTATTTATTACTGTTATTAATAAAATTATCATGTTAGTCTTAGAATATTGTTCTGATTATACTAACATTTAGGTAAAGAAATAACTATTTGGAGGAAGGTTCTGTGGATAATTTCTTGTATGTGAGCAACAGAATTTGGACTAAAATCAATTTATTTAAAAGTCATTAAAATTTATCTTGGATAATGGAACCTGGTAGAGGAGACAGACACCAAGTGGAAGTTATGACACATAGGTCTAATCCTTGTCTGTGAATATTTTTGTAATGGTTTTTAATTCTTTCCAATTCTCTGTTTTTCCATCTCTAAGATGTGGGATATGTACAGATGATCTCCAATACACCTTCTAGATCGTACAGTCTATTCTAAGCCATAGAATATATCATATAAATGTGAACAAATTTAAGTACTCATTGTATAATTACCACATACTTTGAATGATATAGGTGAATATTATCTCAGTGATAAGATGAGTTGTCAGAACTAATTTGAAATTGTAGCACTATGGTTACCAAAACCTAAACACTGTAGAATTCTGTTATATGCCAACTAGTTTCTTTTGAATGCTTTAGTCAAATATTGAAAAAAAGTAAAAAATTTTGATGTAAAATTCATGAAAATGAATAGTATACATAATTATTTGAGATGAAAAGTACCTATAATTGGGATACATTCACATATGTGTTTTATTTTGTGTTAAAATTTCTTGAAACCACAAAGCTCAAGTGTTTGTAAACATACACAAAATGCCAAACTAATTTGATAGTTTGAAATGCAATTTAGCATTAACCTTGAGTAACCATAAAGCCAATTGTACACCATTTCTCTTCTACTCTAATTCTACAGTAAAAATGAAAGAGAGAGAGAAAGAAACTCATTCTATATCACTAATTAGAATGTCACTATATCAATGTATTTAAGGACAGGATATATATTATATAAATAGTCTTCACTTCTATAAGCTTTTTATAGGCTGTATATATAACCCTAACCTTAACCCTAACCCTAAAACTATTGTCAGGTTGTGTTGCTATCCTATTGAAGAAGGAGCCAATCAAGCTTTGCCATAGTTAAAAAAGAAGCTGTTGTCTATTGGGAAATCCTAAGATATAAAAGGAAATACTTCATCGAAAAATGAAGTGGAGAAAAAAATAAGTGGAGAAGAGTTTTTAGAAGAGAATTCTGGTACCCATTTCCTATTATTCCAGGGGCAGCCTTACTAATTTTAAGTGTGAATTCCCCATACATAAAATGTGCAAGTTGACACGTGAAGTTGAAGCTACTATATCCAGGTACAAAGAAAGTGCTCAAAAAATTTAAGAAGGCAAAGAAGAACAAAAAAACATGAAATTATAACTATGAAGACTATTTACATTCCTCAATCATTAATTGAATGAATGAACAAATGAACAAAAGACGTTTCCTTCCTATTTAAAATGAGAGTAATAGGTAGTTAGATTGTCTACTAGAGTGAAATGCCGCAGAATTCAGAAAGTGTGACAGATCAGAAGCAAACTCTGCATTTCATTTTCAGTATTCCAGTCCCTTAAATTTGTTAAGTTGTTGTTGAACACTTTTTTTTTCAAGGTCTTTTAAAATGGTATAGACTTAAAAATGTCTTAGATGATAAAATTTTGCATGAAATGTGAGATGCCAACTTGTGTGAAACACAGTTGTCCTCTGCATTACCATGAGAAGGTCCCAACTCCATTCTTATGGCTTTGCTTTCAGTGAAGGGGAAAGTTACCTGATGAAATTAATAGGTTTTGAAGGACTATTTACTAGCAGAAGGATAACTCCTTCATAAAAAATGTGACTTATAAGATACTAAGATAATGGACTGGAGTGAGTAGAAGAGGTAAAAAATCTGGGTATATAATTCTGTTTCCAGAAGATTGGGCTGGAGTAGGTAGATGGAAGGCTTAGAGGAAGAGAAGGGGAGAGGTGGATATGATAGCTCAGGTCTCATATCTTTAGGGAATTAAAAAAATTATTTAAGCTATCCTGGGTTGTGAGGATCTCACTTCAGTCTTAAATATAGTGTTATCTTGTGAAATATTTTAAATTTAGATCAGAATGAGTAAATTGCAGAAAAAGCATACCAGGGAACCCAACAAAAATTAGACTTGTATTAATAGACATATCAGTAAGACGCAACCATGTAAATGTAGGAAGTTGTGAGAGACCAGGAGATGCTGGGCCACATTTCTGATGCTGAGGGGAGAGAAGCTGTTACTGGAGAACTGGTCCTCAGATTGCATACTATTCTATAGCCAGAAGGCAAGAAAGCCTGTCCTCTCAGGTGGTTCCACATTTAGCCTTACAGTAGGTTTGCAAGTGACAGAACTGAAGTCTAACTTGAACTAATAATAAGGCTAATAAAAGCATAACGTGCCCTTCTAAAATGAAATAAAGATTCATGTTCTCTGCAGAAGGAGAGCATCAATAGCTCTTAAGGGGATTGGTAATGGACGGTCAAAACTTCCCCTATTGTCATCTGAGCTCTCCCCTTGGGGCAAAGCGAGAGGGTGAATTTAGATAAATTTTCAACCAGACATTCCATCAACAGACAGAGTCAATCACTCCACACCTGGCAGAAATAACACTGCTGTGTAAGCTGGGAATTGAGGTGCCAAGTGAGAGATGGCAGCAGTGCACTGGGCAACTGACAACTGCCTTGAGAGACAGATGTGGAACAAAGAACTCAGTCCTCAAGATGACTTTCTTGCTTTTGGTATCCAATTACTAAAAAGTTTTGCTCTTCCCCAAAATAGTCAATATCAGCCTTTTAGGAAGAAATCCTTGATTGTGATAAGCTACTGATTCAAGAGAAAGCATGCCTCACTTATTAGAATTAAGCATTGCCAGTTCCATAGCAAGAAAAGGGTTAGCCATTCTGAAAACTAGCCAGTGATTTAGCAATATTCTCTTTTGGGTTGTTAGACTGTGACGGGATATGGCCTAACAACTGGCAAAAAGCAAATAAACACAGTGTTGTGGGATTTGACTTTGGCCACGAAATCTTCAGCAACCCAATTGTCAACAATTCTTTGGATAAGATCCTACTCAGCCATAATCTCTGCTAGTAGCTAGTAAATATACATACTACCTCTAAATATAGAGATGGTGAACTTGCTTATGCTCTAAACAGTTCTTATCAAGTTATCTAAAAGAACAATAATTCACATTATCAACACAAAAATAAGAAAACCAGGGCAACTCCACCTTAAAAAAATGGACAATGAGAAACATATCTATGGAATTGAACCAAAATCCTAGAATTACTGACAAAATGTAGTCTTGTAGAACTGGTGACCTACATTCCCTTAAGTCAGTTGTCAAGGCTTTACATTATGGAAGATGGATAAATTGCTGGGGAGCAGATTTGGAAATATTAGCTATTCTTTGAGAATTCTGATAATTAAGATTATATTTTATTGTATAGTTTTCCTCTCTCTCTCTCTCTCTCTGGCTAATAAAAGCATCTGGCATTTACAAAGTGCAGGTAATTTACTATCACAGGAGCATCTCTTATTTGTTTTGTAAATCTTCATTTGAACTGACCATCACTTTCATTTCTTTACCAACCCAGGGCATCTGAACATGTATTTTCCCTTTTGACTTAGCTGTATTAACAATTCTTTAGCCTACAGTTTTAGAGCATTTGGAGCATTTAGAGCGTTCACTTTCCAAGTGAATTGGAGGGAATGCAAGAAGACAGTTTTCAGATATATGGAGAGGTTCCCTTTTCCAGGTTTTCCTATTTCTCAGCCT